TGTGGCACATAGCCAGTCAAGTTCAACAATTGAAAAAATTAGTTGCTGGAAATAAAGATGTTCTCATTGCATTAAGAACAAATTTTGATAAACCAGATATAATGAAGGAACAATTCAAAAGGTTACAAAATGTAGATAATGTGCTGCAACGCGTCACAATTATAGGCGTAATTTTAAGTTTCAGACAATTAGCACAATCTGCATTAGTCGACGTGTTGGAAGAACGTATTCCATTTCTTCTGAGTTCAATTCTAGATTTCCGGCATCATTTACCATCTGGTGATCCGATGCGTGTTGTTTCAGAAATGACATCTGCAGCAGGTTTAACTTGCAAAGTTGATCCAACGCTAACAGCAGCATTAAGAAGCCAAAAATCTGAAGTAGATGAAGATGAACATTTACTGGTATGCTTGTTAATGGTTTTTGTGGCTGTTTCTATTCCAAAATTAGCTCGAAATGAAAATTCCTTTTATCGGGCATCCTTAGAAGGGCATTCGAATAATATACATTGTATGGCAACTGCGATAAACAATATTTTCGGTGCATTGTTTACTATTTGTGGACAAAATGACATAGAAGATCGAATGAAGGAATTTCTTGCTTTAGCATCGTCTAGTTTACTTAGACTAGGCCAAGAAGCTGACAAAGATGCAATTAAAAACAGAGAATCCGTGTACCTTTTATTGGACCAGATTGTTCAAGAATCACCGTTTTTAACGATGGATTTGCTCGAAAGCTGCTTTCCATATGCACTTATACGTAATGCATATCACGATGTATACAAGCTTGAACATTCGCAGCCATAAAATCATTAACAAAGAAATGTGCTTTTAGCTTGCCACTCAGGGCCATTTTTTTTCACGTCCATTGTATTGCACATGGAAACAGAAGAGTTTTCATTACCTGGTCAAAAGAGAGATGAAAGTGGCAAAAATATTCTATTTATAAGAAATATAATTAGTAATATTTTTTTTATGCTGCTTTAAATCGAATCGAATTCTTCGAATATATCGAATTCGAGATATAAATAAGTATATTTCGAAATGTATTTAAAATACCTGGAAGGACAAGTTTGCGCTAATTTATTTAAAATAATGCATTTTGTATAGAGCAGTACCACCTATTTCATATTTGATACCTGTCTCAAAAAATTCGGTAATAAACAATAATGCATTTTTTCAGTATGCTATTACACATCATCTGTATGTAAGGGTCGTTTTGTATTACAGGTGAATTGTAAAATGCTATCTGTTTATGAATCGAAATACACACGTATGGTAAAATAGACATCATTCAATCTGCTACGTTTTCTAATGTACAATTGTAACTTTTACAATAGTTTATAAAATAAATAAAAGTACCTATAAATTGTATTTGTATTAACCCTCTCGTTTCTATGTGGTATAATAGATGAAGGTTAACAAATAAATTTCAATATTTTTTTAAAAGTATTACATTGATTTATAAAACCTACAGTATTTCTCAAATATTTTTTTGTCACATTTTATCTCCTTTTTATTATTGATTATATGTAATACAAATTTATTTTTTTAAATTATCATATTATTTATATAAATTCTTCATTAATTTGTGTAATTGTTACCTTCAAATGTTTATTGAACGAAATGTATTAATTTTCTTGATTAAGTAACAATATAGGAAATTAAAAATGTGTTTCATTTAATTTCCAGTTAACAGTGTACATTGCAATTGTTACATATAAAAGTTATACAGGGTATAGGATATTATATACCATAATATAAATGTAAAATGTATGCTTTATTTAGTTCTTTACAATGTTTTTGTTTTTTTTCTTTTTTTTAATCACATTAACATAACACAAGAGATTCACAATCAGATTCCTTTTATTTATAATATTCTTAAAACACTCGCCGCGTTCTAGACATTTGGGAAAAAGAGAGAGTGGTGGTCTGAAGCAATGTTCAGGCGATTGGTCAGTATCATGCTTAATAAAACTTATATCAAAATATCAATCCAAACGTAAAGCTTGAAATTGAGTGTATGGATTAAAAATGAAATAAAACACTACGGCACATAAAACATAAAGGCAACTTGGTGATTTTGTGATATCCAAGCAACACTCTACACGTAGAACGTACGGATTCTTGGTGAAACGAGACGACATACTATTTTTAGCTAAATCAAATCGGAACGGACATGAAGAATCTAACGTAGATGAAACTAATATTGGATGCACGATGTTGATAGGTCACCACATTTTTGGATCGATAGAAAAAATATAATCTTCGATTTCTTTTTGTTTCTTCCTTACTAACATTATGTACAAGTGATAAAGTAGTGTGCATTGCGTCACAGTGACGCAGGTCTGGATTAAGATAGGTACTCTGGAAATGCTGATTTTGCAAACATTCGAATTTTCTCCTTATCGAAGAATTTGCTCGTGCCACAGAAACTATGTTTATCACAAAAAGTGCAGCGAAATGCACAATCACCGAATAATAATAGTAGAACGCGATCTTAATCCAGACAGCGCAAAAACGAATAAGCTTAAGCATATGTAGTAGAGACTTCTCGGGGACAAATGATGAATGAAAACGTACTTTTGCTTTTTAATTGTTATACTCCTCTCGTACGGGCAAGCAACGTCTTCGTCAACTAGATACTAGAACTTGGCCCCATTCTACGCTCGTCTTAGGCTTTTCTTTTCTAAACAATGCCACTATTTTTCTGTCTTTTTTTTTCTATTTTTTTTTCTCTTTTCTTTTGATCTTGTATTCAGTCAGTTTAACGGTTTTCATAGCAGTGAAATGGAAGCAAGAATTATGAACAATATTTAAACATCCATCGACTCGTCTAAAGAGTAAAATCTGTAACTACGTGACCAGTGATTGAATGGTAGTCAATGCCTGACTTTTAGGAAAATCTAACAAACAACGTCGTTAATCGTAGTACAATCAAAATGATATTCGCGTTATCATCTCATATCACGTTAATTCTAATGCCTTCTTACGAATAAGTTTACAGCATTTCCATTTGCAATTTCAAAACACGTCGACATTTTCCTTCGCTACGCGTTACTACGAATGGCAGTAAATTGTACTCATGGCAGTAAATGGTATTCATGGCAGTAAATTGTACTCATGGCCTACCATGAATCATCAATATCGAACCACATAGAAATCATATAATTAAATTGTACGATCGGACGAGCAATTACGAATGGGACCAAACGGAATCCCGTTGCATCTATATGCAAGAAACTTCAAAACTTCTTAAATAACCTATATCAAACGATCCGTTCCGGTCCACGCTGGATCGTGATTAAAAGTCGTCACCTTAAAAACCTAAGGGCTCGATTACACGCACGTACAGGCATTCGTTCGTCATCCTTATAACTTCCGTCCCGATTACAAAATACAGGATAATATTTCGCTATAATACAGATTTGATATAAAAACAAGTATTTCTTTTTTTTTTGTATTCGCTTTACCATTTGTTATGGTTATATAATTATCGTTTATGTATATATATATAATATATATAATATCAATATATGTACACAGTTTAACACTCTCTCTTTTATTCGTTCACGCCCATTCTCTTTCCATACCATTTCGCTCTCTTGCCTTTTCCCGCTTTCGCACGTCTCTCGCATCAGCTTTCGTATGATCCACTTTTTTTATAATCACATTGCGACTATTGTACATTTCCACACGATCCGCAAACTCGTATTTTCTGCGATTTGGCAGACACCTCCTTGTTTTATATCTTCATCCCTGTTTAATGTTCTTTCTGTCTTGCACAACTATATATTTAAAACTGTTAAATTTCTGGGTCATCGTCTAAATGAAATCTATATCTCTGTAGTGTGTAAACTAGTTGCTGTAACGTTGAACAGTATGTAGTGACATTTTTACGAGATATCGAATGAGAAGAAATAGGTAACACGTTTAACTCTCAAAAAATCGCTAAGTCTAATAATATTATCAAAAATATCGCAGAAAGGAAAAACGCTAGATCGGATGTTGACAATCGTTATCGTATCGCTATTAGCCGTGATGATAAGGACTTTACGGTTATTGCCTCGAATAGAAACGCATGGAAAGAACTGGACAAAATTTGCGCAAGAAGGTTCGACGAGGGACGAGTAAAAAAATTCAGTCGATCACATACAACATTTTGGCGTTTCGAGAAAGGAAGTGTATATATATCGCGTACAATTTAGTACGATTCGCTGTTGGGCACGTGGCGAATTTTCTCTGTGTGACATACGAGTATGCAGCAGTGTACGAATGTGCTGCTTGAGCCCATGTATATTAAAACATGTTTATATTTCAAAAGGAGGGCTCGTCTTTGGTCCGCTATGCGCATCATCAAAGCGCTTTTACGGTACAGCCCCCGGTAATTGTAAGTTAAAAACCATATTTAAATATAACTTATAACATTCGCGATAGCGGAGATAAATTATCATTTGAAATAGATAACTAATTAAGAATAATAATAGCTATAATAATAATAATAATTAATAATAATAATATTAATAATAATAAGCATAATTATAATAAAATCGATATTGTTCGGTATCATTCTCATCGGAATAATAATCATTAATGAAATATCGTTATAAAAATTTTTTTCTTGAAACCTTTCTCCCATGTTCATAGTCTCTCGTAACTTTGCTCGTTTCAATTGGCTAATAAAAATTAGTATAAGAATATTAAATATCATTAATTATTATGCTACAATGGTAGAGATCAAGTGAATGACCTGCAATAGTTTGGTAATGGTAAACGCGCTCCTTCGCTGCGGAAAGCGATGGTATATACTAATGGACTATGTAACTTATGTATACATGCGTTAAAAAAAAAGAAAACAAAAAGAAACATGATAAATGTTTTGGCAATACTTATTAATTATATTCACTTACATTGGTATAAAGTATCAATAATTGAAACCTTAACTGAGAATAAAAAATATCCATTTGGAAGAAATTGTAAATAAAAAAAATGTGTCTGTCTTTTAAAATCGTAGTATAGTAGAATAACATATATATAACAATCGCGTGTAAGAGTTAAAAGGCACAAGGTACGTTCAACGGGAGCTTTTCAAAAATTACGGTTATCATTCTAACACTTATTCCAAATATATATTGTCGTCTCCGTTCTCCCTTTGAACTTCCCTTCTTCTTCTAACAGTCCTCGTGTATAAAAGTACGCTTTCCGAAGCGAAAAACACGCAATTCGACTTCACCAAGAAATCGAGGCATAAACACTACTATGCAACCTTGGCCATAAATGTTCTTACATCGAACGACAAAAATATGTTGCGTTCAATATTACTGCAAATATTTCTTCGCTGTGCGAATCCAGCGTTGTACACAGAAATAAATCTCCATAATTTTGATCGGTACATTTATATCAAAGAATTTCGCGGGCAGAGAGATTTGTCGAAAGCCTTATGATTTTGATCAAGACGCGAAAATACTTAATGGCAACATGGAGGAATCTGCAGGAAACATTTAAAAGACGAATTACATAAAATTGTATGATAATATAGTCTTTCAACGATTTGTCATTTTACGATCTATCACGTCCAACGCTGTTATTCGTTTCGTTCTGCAACGTCGATGTCCTCGTACCATGCTGATAAAATCAGCTCGACAAAAACTCAACGTCAAACGAGAAGTTGATATATCACCATTGATTATATAATACACTTCACCAATTTACAATTCCGAACCAGTCCCCTTGCGCGAGTTATTTGAATCGAAATAAAAACGTAGATCGACGATCGTCGGTACTTTCAAATGCATTCCATTACGTTGTATTCTTCCATTACTCCGTCGATCTCGATTACGAGAGATATCGTGTCGGGTGGATCGGCTCGTTTCACAGTTTGGCATTAAACAAGAGAACAATTTATGGTGCAACGTTGAGACCGTTCCTCGTCCGTGGTAGTTCTCTAAGATCGTCACACCTTGTTGTGATGCCTCATCTCGTAGGCTGAGGACCTCCCGCCTCCCCCGGAGCCCGAATAGGCGCCGGCGTACAGTTCTGGGTGGTTGGACCGGCCGTAGTTGGGTGCTGCGCTGCTACTGGGTGGCGCACTAGCTGTGGGAACCGAGCGATAGCCTGCTTAAAGTTTAGAAAAATATTCAATTGTAAAAAGAAATATCGAAGCGAACGAAACAACGAATGTAGTACCGGGGTAGTAGGTTAGTCACTGCTGCTACAGCGAGTATATGAAGAATGGCGAAATTTATCAATACGAACTATGTAACTATATTCATCATGCAATGTGTTCCTTAGTTACCACCAAGATACTTCTACCAAGTTCCACTAATCATCCAAAAGCCATATTTCCAAAAATACGATTGAAATCAATACAAATGATGCGAAAGCGGAGTAAAAATACTGTTACTTCGGTATTAATGATAGAATGAATGTTTTCATGATGGCTTTTCGTTGAATGGTCATGAAAGAGAATTTCGAGCAAATACAAGAATTCGCATCGAGAGATAGAATAGTTGCGACTTGCGACGAGAAGCATGTTTTCTCTTTCCATTAGATTTTTATTCGTGAATTTGCTCTGATCACGGGTATAGAGTATAAGCCCCAGCTCACCTCTGTAGGTCATAGAACGATAGTATCAGGTAGTGATGCGCGTCAATCAATGCGAGGAAGATGCAAACAGGAAAAAACATTGATGTAGTTGCAGATCACACAGGGACAAATACATAACAGCAAGCTTCTTAGCTTGAGTTTAATCCATATTTTACCAGCTAATATACAAACATACAGTATGTATTTTAACGAGCAACGTTTATTAGGATCAAACTCGAGCAACGATAGCTGCATTAGAAAGCAAGCAGATTTTTAGGTAAACCTACCTTTTGGATAATACTGAGCACCTCTACCCTCCCCATAGCCATGGGAGGGTCCACGAGTACCATGCCCTCCTTGACCTTGCCTAGGAGGTATATTTCTGGGACCGGCCCCACCTCCACCGTGTGGGTGTCGCTATAAAATATAATCACATCATCTTTAAAACAAATAAATATTTATATTTTATTGTTTTATTATTTTAGTTTATTTTATGTACCATTCTTCTTAGGGTATTCATCGGTCTTCTAAGGGTATCGCTAATACGTCTCGCTGGTGGCTTCTTAGGATTACTCGAAGGAGTATGAACTGCACAGCACTTGATGAATAAGCCCATGAAAATAATGAAGGCTATACCCATTAATAATACTGCCCACCAGAATTCCTGAAGAAACAAACGTACATTGTCAAATGCATATAATCGTGGTAAATAAAAATCTATGGGTCAAATTTATACTTACAGTTACCCATTGTGCTACTGTGAGCAATGTTTTTTTATTGAATAAAAGATTTTTCAATCTGGCTAATGGTCCTTCTGCGTCAACCGCTCTACACTTCAAAAATACATCACAATACCCCTATAACAAATATCCAATTGTTACTTACATAGATAAATAACAAATTTATAAAATAATATACAAAATTAGACGTTTACTTGGAAGTTATCACAGGGTGATCCAGGTCGCAGGCTAATTCCACCTTCGGGCAGTCCAACAACGTGTGCAAATTCGCTGGTACTGCGGCAGGTCGATGGATCGGTTCCATTTTGGCAAGCTAATTCACACAATTTACGTTTATCAATATTTGGAATTACGTTACTAGTCAAGAAACATTCAGTCAGATTCCACTCCAGGCAAATCGATCCCGTACACTCGCCGTTGATGCACAACTGTGAACAAAATTCCAAAATATTATACTATTTTCCAATACCATGTGTACAGATTTCAAAATTTTCTTTACCTGAGTCCCTTCGTTGCACCTAGTTTTATTAGCTCTTGGTAATGGCGCAGGACACTCGGAAGATCGACCATTACAGGTGGAATTGTAACTACAATCCGATTCAGCTTTACATTGAACATTTCTAGAGAGAGGAACAAACTGGCATGACTCGCTGGAACAGCATGGCCCTTGACTGGGGCTGGAAGAAAAATGACTCGTGAGATTCTTGGTTACACAGGAGGGACAATATATTCTGGGTCATGAACTTATAAAATGCAACGTCGATCATTGCATTGAAATCTATACCTGCATTGTGTTCCGTATTTCCTGGTACAGCCTTTAGCTGTCTCATTCTTTATTTTATCCAACTCTGATACCTGTCTTGGGTAACAACAGTTATCTACGCATTCATCGTCATCGTATCCGCAATCGCATTCTTCTCCAGCTTCGACGATCTTATTGCCGCAGAATGCTCCAGCAGAAGCTAGAAAAAAATAAAAACAAAATTGAATAAAATGAAATTTATTGCCAAAATCGCGAGTATACGTATCTAACATTATACACACCAGTGAAACAATTTCTTTTCTTGTTGTCTTCAATAGCATCTAGGACATTACTGATATTCCCGATACTACATTTTGAAAATTTACTATTATTCGGTCGATCCCCGCTGGTCGCTGACGCAAACATGATATAATTTCCGTGCAATCCACCAGGCCTGCATTCAGGTGGGAAATCATGCTGCGAAAATGAAATTAAAATAGGAATTAAATACAACAAATACCAGTATCGAACCACTGTTCGTCGAAATAAATCCTTACAGGTGATCCAAAATTGTGTCCTATTTCATGAGCCAACGTCAGTTGCGATACTTTCGGGGGTACTCTGCTATTGTAATTAACGAAAGTAATGATTCCAGTGTTGAGAGACCTCTTGGTGGACTGATACATTCCCCCGACCGTTTCCGTGTACGTTTTGTATTTTTCGCAAATGCCACCGGATGCGCCGGATGCGGAGGCCACCCAGGCAAGACCAAGGGTACCGCCAGTAAAATCTCTGTTAATAATATAGACTGGTGAATTCGTATTCACGTGCACAGCTTGACGTGTATATTTTAAAGTGGCATACTCTCGTCGTACCTGTAGGTGAACACATAGGCGAGACAAAAGTCCTCGTGGTTGCCGAGCGAATGCAAATTTAAAAAGTTGCTAACGTCGATATTCTCCATGCAGAACGGATTTGGCTCGCCATACGTCTGCTGTGGGGTGCACGCTGTGTCATCGTCAATCTATCGAACAGAGAATATAAATTTAACACGGGAAAGCTCGTATGCAGCCAACACGCAGAAACTAACGAGCCCTTTAATTACCTTTATCCGCTGCACCTCGAATTTAATATTCCTGTGCTTGATCCTCCCGTCGAATCTGGTGTCTCTGTAGATGTAATTCACGGCTGTAACGTGATGCGCGATCAGCGACAGTATCTCCTCCCTCGTCTTCTCCGCGTCGTGATGCAGCTGAAAGTGCAGTCGAAAAATTCAGCTACTCGATATTCGCTAACGTCACGACTAAGGGCTGGCTTACATGTAACGAGATTTTTATAATGCTACGGGGGAAAGAATGCTTGACCAAAGGGAATGCAGAGATGGAAATATTCCCCCGAGCCGAGGACATCGGAATGCTGAGACGTCTAGTTTGGGAAGAAAATGCGAAATGAAATTACGCTATGCCCCATTACCAAGGAATAGCCATACGAATATGACTGCGGCTAGGAAATGGTAGGCATTCGAAGTATTCCACGATTATGCCACGAGTTATTACCTTTTTCAGTTCAATTCTCCGTCGAGAGGTTAGGTCGATTATTATTTTAGGTTATGTGCAACGAAACTGAGTGTACACGTGCATCGAAGACTATGCGTTTTTCGTTTATGGACCGAGTATATATTTTTCTTGACTATAAGAATCGTATGTAACATAACTTCAACAAATATCAATCAATAAATTTAGGAGTTTTGACAATTTTATTATAACGAATTCATATTGAAAGTTTGAATTAACAACGTTTGTACTATTGTACCAAGATAATGTGCAATAGGTAGACAAGATAATTTTCCACGCCATCTTGTGGAATAGGGGGCCATAAAGAACCTAACCTATCATAACCTATAATAACCGGTAAATGAAAAAGAATTAGAATTTTTAAAAATGGAACCACGGGAGGTATTGTAAAAATAATTATAAATATATCGAAAGAAAAATCGCGAACTGAAATGATCAAGACGATAACGTTGAATACAGTATTTAATAAAATACCTATACATTAGCATGTAACTCGAAAGTTACACGGGTCCATAGAGGGTTAAGTATGGTATAGGTAAATAATTAATTAATTTAATAAAATAATAACAATTAAATAATTAATTAATTAAATAAAATAATAAAATAATTTACTAATTAAATAATTAGTACAGGAAAATGATTTCAATTACTATTTCTACTACTAATACTACTATTTCGATTACCTGTTCCGATATGTGTCTCCATATTAGTGGATCGGTTTGAATGAAAAGGGAACAAGTATTTTTATTATCCTCCTTCGGCCTAGTTGCTCTCCGAGTTCTGTGATGACTAGGTTCGTTAGCTTCTCTGGTATACTTGTGACCTGGCGATTCTTGAAGATCGTTCCACGATTTTAGCTGTGGCTTGAATTTCTTCTCGTTTCTGATCACTAGCTGCGAAATTTCTGGCTCGCCAGAATTTTGAATCCTTTCCATCCACTGCACCATGTCATCGGTTACTCCACAACCACCGGATTCACCTATGAAAGGTGGCAAAATATCAACGAATGCTTTGGAAATTATTTGCATGGAATTTTTATAGCGTATGTTAAGCAAAGATAATAACTTCATCCTCAGTTTCATAATTCAATTTATAATTCGGTGTTAGATATTGAACAGAATTTTCAACAGAATTGCTCTCAAATATAAACCAATTTTACTCATTCGTACATTCTCTATTAATATTAACGACTTATCGTTTTTTCGGATCTGATCTAGTAATAATTCCTGGATTTCAAATTTTTAGAACGAAAATTGGTTTATTCTGTTTTTAGAGTAAAGATCTCCATCGTATTATATTTCGATATATTTTATACATGGCACATTTTATATTGACATTAAAAATATAAAAACTGATCCCAGTAAATTTATTATAGCTCCTATTCGACTAAAACGCGAAGTGAACACTGTATCGAACATGCACTTTATCGACTGCCATTGTATTCATAATCTCTTTCCGAGTTCTATCGCGAACGAAATAATAAATGACATGATATTTCAAATATTTAATAATCAATAATCGCAGTAAGCACGTTAAAGAGTGCTGACATTTAAATCTAAAGCACTGTTGTTCAATTTATAGTACTTTAAAACTAAAAGCACGGAATACTGTTGCGCAATTAATAGTAAGCAGTTTATAATTTTGTGGATTATTGTGCAATAAAATAATCGATTAAAATCTGTTACAATTCGCGTTTATCTTTTACTCTTTTCAATTGTTCTTATTTTACTACTTTGTTCGCGGGAGGGATTAACTTAAGATGGAGATTAGCGTTTAATCTGCGATAAAATCAATGAAAGTGAAGAGATTTTCATTGTGGTAAAATAAATTTTTTACTTAGCCCCAGTCATAATTTTCTAATACAGAATGTTATAATTTTATACTTAATGTTATTTTATAACAGCATTATCATTTTGTAATAAAGAACTAATTACTCTTTGACTGTAATTAGCGTTAAAGTGCCATTTTATGGCAAAACTGGATATTTAAACGTATATAAAATTTAGAGGTTAGAGGTTCGAAGGCGATCAGATACCGCCCTAGTTCTAACCATAAAAGAATTTTACCAGACAAATCGCTCCACCAACTAAGAACGGTTTGCATTACTCGCGAGTTTGAATAAATTTTAAATTTTTCCACAGGTGAGATAAGTATAATAATATAGCGACAAGTTTCACGGTGTCCTAAGCATGTTTGACAGAGATTAACAAATGTACAGCTTATGGTGCTCTAAAAATATTTACAAACTGTTAATTTTTATTTGCTAAGCTATATATATAAAAATCTGACCTTTCTCCCATTTTACTATCCTAGCTTTTATTCAAAAAAGCAGTACGATTACGTCAAGCGCTCTCAGCTTTTGCTTTTGAAAATATGTAGTACTACGTCATCCAACAGCACTGTTGATACATTCAAGTAATATAATTTCAGTTTAAAAACGTAGTTAAATATAAATTCATAATAACTCTCTGCAAATGAATTTAAATATTACAAAGAAATATAAGAGTACCCAATTTTTGTATTATTGATTATATACCACACACAGTAGCACACAAATACAATTCAATAATACTATATACAGAAAGAAATGAGAATTAAAAATATAAGTATATGATATAATGCAGGTAATTTCCAAGTCACATATTACAAGGATAAGAAGGTAAAGAAATTTTTATTTCATAAATTTATTCAGCATTCGATAACTTTCACGACGTAATGTGAAAAAATATGCAAATAAACGTTCCCAGGAAATACCTGACCCAAAGAAGCTATTACGGAATAAGCTCAAACACTGGTTTGACTTCTCAAAAACATCAGAAAAATACTACCAACTATGTAAATTACCTAATTATTTGACAAAATATACAGTGAAAAGTCCAATTCGTCGCTAAAAACCTCGAAGTAGATGAGACTCTAAACCCTAAATATATATAAGAAAAAGTTTCCTATATATGTATGTGAAAAATGGAAAAAGTCTTTACTCGTAAGCCATGTGAATTAACGTAACGTAGGATCTTAAAAATCTGCAAATTAAATATGCAGCGGATTCACACGGGAACCTTGAGATCATTAAAATTTCCGAAGCAGCCAAGCATCTCGATCTTCAATCTAGAGTTACTACGAAGAACCCACGGGTCTAACGAATACATCTGGAAACTCGAAACGTCTGCGGGTTCCGAGGGATTTCGAATCTTTCATCGTTCGTGTTTTCGATGAGAAGCACGCGGAAGCCGGATCCGTTGAGGCGTGCACGACTGTTTCCCAGGAACATCTTCGTGGAAACTCGGATACGCGCTGGTCTGTAAGAAGCGGGAACGAAGGCGAGCGGATACGTATAACCTCAAAACTGGGCTGGAACACGCGTCTAAACGTTCGGAACTGACAACCGAGGAAGTTTCTAACGCGTCGCTGCGGAAGTGCCGATGCGCGGTTTAATTATTCGCGTAATTTCGAAATGCAGGGAGCTGTGTCTGTAAAGCGGATGCACGGACATAATGCGCCACGTAATGACAAACTTAACCGCTTCCCCTTGGGTGTCGTATCGTCCGTAACGACGATGCTATTATTTTGAGGACGTGGTCAGCCGCGTATATACGTATGGGTGTGAAATCATACTTCCTCTTTCACTCTGCCGGCGACCGCAGCGACACGCCGGCAGACGAGCGAAGCTGCACACCGAGCAACACGGAGCCAGGCCATCGCGCACGCGACACACTGCATCATTTTTTACGAGTCGAGATTTCGGCGCGGTTATTAATGCTTCCTCTGTGCTATTAAACGCGATCCATTACTTTAAAAATTCAGCTTTAAAAAGCGCTGCTTTGACGATTCCCCGCTCGCTGTTTATCCCGTTTGTTGTCCGGGACAAGCGACGGGTGTCAGTACCTTTTGAAATTCTGAACAATGCGAACGTGGCCATAAATTTATTTGCTCTACAGTGTCACGCGGCCGAGGGCGATGTACGTATCCGGCGATTCAGTTTTAAAACGTAATTAATGCTTGTTCATTTCTCTTTTCATTTAGTCGCGGATATTTTAACGTCTTATCGTCGCAGCAGCTTCTTTCCTGTTATTTTAATTACGATTCCCATTTATCCTTTCCTTTCGAGATATTAATTCCATTTAATCCGATATATTACGAGATCAAAATTCACGAATTATTGCGTTCGAATTATCGCACGTTAAGGAGATAAATATTTTGTTATGGCTTAAAATATATTCCTGGGTGAATTTGGAGGTTGATAAGTGGCAAGAATTCGGATTCTGTGATTAAGTACATATTTACGAAATAATGATACAAGTGGTTTTCATGGAACTATAAGATATATAACGAAATGTTAATTATTTTCTCTCATAAGTGCACTACACGTGGATATTTCTATCAAAGGAAGAGTACTTAGCACTGTGTGAACTTTTAAATTGCAAAGCTAAGTATAAACACGCTTCTCAAAAGTGTAGCATAAAGAAGCCAAGATAATTATGCAGTACTGGGTTCCTTGCGGTTCCTTTTGATTTGCGCACGCTTTTAACAAACGTGCTATATTAACTTATTCTACTACTAATTATTAATTTACATTATGCTTGAGAGGATGTTGAAGTTGGGGAGGAAAAGTTTCTAGTACCAATTGCATGTGCCAATTACCATCTCTCCTGTCATAATTAAAAAAGGAAATTAAACAAAATTATTTTTCATCTTAAACCACGATAAAAGAAATTGTAAATATAACAGGAAAGGTAGAAAATACACGTCTCTTGAAGATAAAATTTCGTTTTAATTACTTGCAACGAACTGTGCTCAGATTTAGACGCCAAGCTTATTAAAGCACGTTATCATATTGCGCTAACAATAGGACACCTGCTTATTTCGTTTGTAAGTAGTGATCCTTTTACATTAGATTATAGCATGTTACGGTACATGGTACATTGTATAATAAATTATTAACGGGAAAAAATAATTTCAAAAATTGCCATTTATAGAATTACCGAATTTCTTATAATGACTATCGTTTTAAAGTAAACGAATTGCAATATTTTATTTCATTCTGCAATTCTATTAATGTCTGTAGAGGAGGCCAGCATGGTATAATAATTATTAATATAATATTTATTCGAACAGGCAGGTGTGCAAGAAAACAACTCGTACGTACAGAAGGTGCACTCTTTCACAGCTTTGACACATATTATATTCAAATTGCAACCAACGTATGTATATATGACGTGTAGATTGCACGAAAATAATTGCTTCGTGTACTGCCTGTTAATTATTAGTCGTGTAAAAATAAAGCAGCATATCACCTCATAACAAAAAATCTTACCCTACTTCTCCCGCGAAATACGTATTTTAAAGGAATAAAGCGACGTCGCGAACATTGACGAAAAAAAGGGAAGAAAACAAAACTTCGGGCTTGTACCTCGCAGAGTCACGAACAGGAGCCCCTTGCAAGCTTGACATTCTTTTAAATCTTTCACGATAACCTAGCGTTAAAAAGTTAAGATTTGGACCGGCATATTTTTTCCCTTTAAACTGAACGATACTGAACAAAATATTTTAATTATATTGTAGTTTCAAGCTTAAACCGAGTCCCGCAAAAAATATTTAGAACTTCCATTTCCTGCTATACCCGAGTTCGTTCTACTTTCAACGAGTATGCATTTTTAAAAATTCGTAAGGTATAAAATTCGTAAGGTTTTCAGTACGAGGCGTGGTATACAGTTTTTCGTTCTAATAATTTTCATGTCAGCAACACGATATCGTAGAGAAATTGACATTGGTCATACGAGTCTAATAATTGTCCAAGAAATTTTAAGTTTCTCTCTAATCTATGATATCCAACAGGTGATTATCGTGGAGCTTACTTCCCTGAACACGAATCCGTAATCCAGGCTGTTCTATCACTCGCCGTTTTCGAAAAATGTGAGTTTTCCTGAACAGACGGGGTTCTTATCTAAAATGAAGTATTACGTAAGAAGTAAGAAGGTC